GTTCGCATTACGGAGGAATTAGCGCAATGGTAAGCTTTTTGTTTTATTTTTCTTCTGTAGGCACAGGAACTTTTGGCAGGGTACTTCTATGCCGCGATCGGAGAACCTCTGAGTATCATGCGCTTAAGATAATGAATATTCGAGAAGTGATCAGACTAAAACAAGTTGAACATGTACAAAACGAGAAGAACATATTGTCGAAGATAGAGCATCCATTCATCGTTAACTTGTAAGTATATCGATCGACCGTGTAAACAATCATCCATAACATGTTGTAGCTACTTTGGGGAATGAGGTTTTGAGCTTGCTTGATCAGGAACCTTTGTTTTTATGACGAACGAAAGCGCACAGAAAACCTAAAAAAGTCTCTAAAGGCCTTTTATTGCGTGTTTCAGTAGATTCAGTTGTAAACGCTTTCTTTTTAAGGCGAGTGGGGTTATGTATACAAAGCCATTTTGATCTATTTGTGAAGTAAGCGTTGCCTCCTTCGTGTATTTCAAGGTGTGTGTATATATGCTCAAGGTTGTCAGTTGTTTGTTTGCACATTGTACCATTATAATCGATTTTAACTACAATACTGCTCGAACAAATGACTTTAGCAAATCATCGCGCTTTAATCGACGGCAACCCTAGCCTACTCGTAGCCATTTTTTCCTGCTCTACCACGTGAATCGGTATTTCAAGGGTTCTAAATCGTTTGCATTATTTATTTTAGTGATGTTCTATATTTAGTTAACAATATTGAATTTGTGAAGATCCCGTGCAAAGTTTTCGTTCTGTGATCGACTAAGAGGAAGGTCGAGGAAATGCATATTTCATTTTCTTAGAAATCTAAATTGTTCGATGCTAGAATTCTTTTCTGTTGGTCACGTCCCGTCATAGACGAATGAATCGATCAGAAAAAAAACATTTATTACTGAAGTGATTATAATCAATCATGTGGAAAACAACATTTCGGCAAATGCGAGCCTCACTTGTACAAGTCGTTTCATTTGAAATTGAAACAGTGTCCATTGATCAAGTTCATATCAAATAAAAACGCATTGTTTATTTTAGAGAATACACGGGAAACTAAATATATGATAAGTGCTAATGAAGTTAGATGGTTCATGAAAATTTCTTTTGTTTATTATGCTTTTTGTTCTACACGGGAAAAAATAAACAGCGGAAAATAGAAAAATTCCAGCCGTTCTATGAAGCAGCTGCTACTTGGACCCGGTTCCCAAAATTCATCAAATTCTTTTATATGCTATATTCTGTCAATTGATATCCCGTGCCATTTATTCCAAACTTAGCCTTGGCAAACTAGTGTTCGTTTGAAACTGTATTATTTCAGCCTGGAGTCCATTCATTAAGCAGGATTTTTTATTTATTGTTCTTATTTTAACAGTTGTAAATATCTTGCCATAACAAAACTTGAAGCCAGAGTCATGATAAGTAAAATATGCTATAGTTTGCACTTTGCAGTTAAGCAAAAATACAGTCTACTGTGCTTGGTATTGGGTGAGGGCAGACTTCTGCAGTCGATCTTGTTTTATTTTTTCTTTCAATTACTCATACGCGTAAAGTGCATCAATATAATGATGATTTTGCACACACTCCCTTAAGGTTACAAAATATAATATAAGAAGTGCTTAGCAATCTGGCCTCGGTGTATCAAACTCTGCGTAAGCAAGTGATCTGCTGAATATCAAATGCCAGTCATGCTAAAATTTCTCATAATCTTAAATAATCATGCAAACGTTCGGACAATCAACCAATCAAAATCACTACCCAGTTTTTCGGGTAGAGACCTTACTGGATGTACTACTGGCTTGTTGATTCAGACGTCCCTTCCATGAGTGTGCGACCCGAAGGGACGGCTAAAATTTAGGCTAGTTAATACTAAAGCTCAGAGGTTTTTTATTTGATAGTTATGTTACAGGTCAAATTTGATTTCAGGTTAAGTGTTTTTATTCATGAATTAGGGCTAGGAAACAAAGGAAATTGAGAATCAGCCTAGGTTTAAAGAAAATTAACCTGAAATCAAATTTGACCTGTAACAGATAAATTTGTTACTCTAAGTAGCAAGGTATTTAGTAAAACAGGGGGCAGATTAACAGTGAGGCCTTCTTAGCTAATGGGTGTACATATTTACCTAGTCTGAATTTCAAATATGGTCTTTTCACGTTTTGGGGAGTAGGCCTTGTCTGTGTCAGTACTTAACCCATATTCATGTTGTTTATTGCCATTTCATCTTGTCTTGTGTCGCTCATGTTTTAAGCCCATGTCTGTGTTCAGAATTTTACCCAAACTGGGTCTCAACAGTAGCCTATAGCCTAGAAGTCTAGTAGACATCAAATGTTTGAGATATTCGCTCCTCAAACTTTTGTCAATCAAGTTTGGAGATCTTTAACGAGTGGGGCAGTTACCATTGTCAGTTTTTATGAGAACTTGAGTCCAACAGTTCTCATGGTCAAGGATGGCGTTCCTTTTATTAGGGAAGTTAGCACTTTGTAGGCAGAAACTGTAGCTTTACAGAGGTGGGCAGTTCCTTTTCAGCACAAAGACTGAGATGTTCTGTTCAGGAAAATCTTGGTTTTCAACTTCTCAAGTAGGCAGATGTAGATGTCCATCCTGTTAGAGAGGTATGATGACTTGCAGCTGTAGTTCTTATTAATTTTTTGATTATGATTTCATATGGTTTGAATTCAGGCTAAGCATGACACCTGGCCCCGGTTGTTCAAACGTCGGATAGCGCTATCCACCGGATAAATCACTATCCAGCGGATAGCGTAATTGATTTCCATAATACTTATCCGCTGGATAGTGATTTATCCGGTGGAAAGCGCTATCCAACGTTTGAACAACCGGGGCCTGATGTTTTTGTTAACATTGCAGACTATGGACCCATCACGATAACACTTTCTTGTACATGCTTCTTGAGTATGCTTGTGGTGGAGAACTTTTTACCTATCTTCGCACAGCTGGAAGATTTAACAATGGAACTGGATTGTTCTTTGGAGCAGAAATAGTGTCTGCTCTGGACTATCTCCATCATAATAGTATAGTATATCGGGACTTAAAACCTGAAAATATTCTTCTGGACAGAGAGGGGCATGTCAAGCTCACAGATTTTGGATTTGCCAAAGAAGTTCAAGACAAGTAAGTTATATGTACATGGTCTTGAGGGTTTGCTGCAAATATTGAATGGCTTCCAACAGTTCATATAGATTTGGAAAGCAAATAAATAAATTGAAGAAAGTGGGAATATAATAATATATTTATTTCAGTGTGTAACATTTTTTTTGTGTTCATTTTAGGACATGGACTTTGTGTGGTACACCAGAATATCTTGCTCCAGAAATTATCCAAAGCAAAGGACATAACAAAGCTGTTGATTGGTGGGCATTAGGAATACTTATATATGAGATGCTTGTTGGGTAAGGATAATGCCTTGAGCTCCGTCCATAGCTTTCTAGCCTGTGTTTAGCCATACCATACCATCTCTAAAGGAGAAAAAAAGCTATCTGCAGTGGTTTTCACATAAGCAGGCTAGAAGCTTCAAGAAAGTGAAGTGCATGTGTCACTAAAACTATCTAAGTTGTTAACAAATGCAGGGGCGGATCTAGGGGGAGGGTGCAGGGGGTGCACACCCCCCCCCCCCCCCCCCCCCAGAAGACCCCCGGGTTGTAAATAAACCCGTATTTTGCCAAAAAAAAAAAAAAAAAAGAGTTCTACTGTGGTAGAAAAAAAAAAAAGAAAGGAGACCCCCACCAAAAAAAAAAAAAGATCCAACCCCCAAAAAGTAAAAAAAAAAAATTACTACCACACATTCAATAAAGAAAAAAATGGAACATGTTAAAAAATTGATGTGAGATTATTTTAAACAATAGAGTAAGAGACATAAAAAAATGAAAGGTGGTGTTCAAAAAAAAATAAAAAAAGTGGTTAAAAAGGGGGGGGGGGGGGCGGGGGGGGGGGGGGGGGGGGAGCCACCCCCCCCCCCCCCCCCCCCCCCATGAGATGACCTGCGGTTTGTAATACAACTGGTATTCTGCAAAAAAAAAAAGTATGTGGTTTACTGGTGTTGAAGTAGAGCAAGAGACGAGTGCACCCCCTCCTAAAAAAAATCCTGGATCCACCCCTGAAATGGTACAGCAAAACTCTCATACCAACGCTGTCAATAAGGAGAAAGTGCAATCTGTGATTAACAGGTCAAATTCCTGTTGCCAGTAGCTTCTTATACTTATGTCTTGTATTTTAGGAACACACCTGGTGACAAGTTGTAGCAACATCTCAAGGTGATGTTGCAGCAGCAAATTGCTATGTGTGTACAGGAGAATTACGCATTTTTTCAAAAAACTGTGTCTGCAACAGAACTTTGTCACTGCAGCACGTCATACAAAATCAAATTAGTTACAATTTGTGTGAGTCATTGCAGTGACAAAATTCTGTTGAAGAGACAAAAATTTCACAAAAAAATTCTCCAGTATGTATGAAGCAGTTTTCTCCTCTTTTTCAGGTATCCTCCATTTTTTGATGACAACCCATTTGGAATTTATGAGAAAATACTTTCAGGCAAAGTGGAGTGGCCAAAACACATGGAGACCACTGCAGCCAAGTAAGTTCTTCTTCAGTTAATTTTTCACTAATTAATGGAGTGTCAGCAGTAGCTGATCCAGGGTTTTCAATTTTCGTAAATGAGTCAATAAAAGAAGGCAATTTTTTAAGTGCAGAATAAGAGTGTCCTTGGATATCAAATTTGCTGTAAAACTGTTCCATCACTTTGTACAAGTTTGGATGAACCCTTTCTATCAAAACTTTCAGGATTCACTGCGGGTATATGACTAAATAATGATATTGGCCTTTATTACGTTACAATGATACACACTACCAATATAATCATATTTCTTTCTCCTTTTGTCAGAGATTTGATTAAAAAATTATTAGTACATGACAGAACAAGAAGACTTGGAAGTATGAAGGTAAGTACTGTATCTGTCTTTGCAGAGTAATTGTAGAAATAGGAATTTACTAACTTACAGCAGCTATAGTAATCCTCTAAGATACCCATTAGGCATATGATTATCTTGTTGATGGATTTGAAAACTTCTCTTTTTTTTACAGTTTCTCTGAAGTTGAACTTAGTGTACTTTAACCTATTTTTTTTTACTTGATAGTTTATCCTTAAGAGGTTTTTTTTTTAGAATTTTCTTTTTAAATATAAAGGGCTTTTTGCATGTAAACAAGATTGTGTTTAAAGCAGGGCCTTTCTTATTGAAAACTTTTTAAAACTACACTCGAAGCATCAAGTCAGTGTTTTTGTAAATTTTTGTCTCATTCAGAATGGCACTGAAGATGTCAAATCTCACAAGTGGTTTAAAGTTATTGACTGGAATTTAGTTTATCAAAGAAAGCTTAAGGTACGGGTGTTGGTTTCTCCACAGAATGATGGATGTATTGTTGTAGTGTAAATTCCCTTCTGCTCTTGTTGATCATGACTTGCTAGTTGTCGTGTGTTGATTATTATGATGTAGCCGTCAAGGCTCCGTAAGGCTATGTTCACATGACACCAGACAAATTTTTGATTGGTTGAAAAATATGACCGGACACTTTGTTCACACGTGACCGTTTAGCCATAGTTAACAGAGTGGACCCCTCTACTAACTATGGTTTTGCTTGGGTTATGGTACACGAGTCACAGGAAGGGGCTGGGGTGGGGTCTAGTTAGGCGAGATGTTCCCTCTCTGTTCCCCCCCCCCCCCCCCCCCCCCCCCCCCCCCCACCCCCCCCCCCCCCCCCCCCCCCCCCCCCCCCCCTTTTTTTTTTTCTCCCCTTCTTTTTTCTCCTTTTTTTCCAAACTTATAATATAAAAAAACAAACTAAAAACAAACTCTTGCTACAAAAAAAAAACACACGATCACATTTAGTTGAACACAATTATCACGGATTAGGAGCATTTATTTCCCCCTCTGTTCCCCCCCCCCCCCACCCCTTCACACCCTACTTCATCCTTTCACCTTGTACCCGCCCCATCGATTCTACTTTTTGTTCTCCCCAATTTTCTACTGTCAAAAGTAAACGATGGCTAATAAACGCAGAAATCACTGAATGCTCGCTCGTTAGTTAAAAAAATTGCGCCTGCATCGCAGTTGGCTAGAACCGTTGATGACAGATGAGTGGCATTTCATGAGCGAAGACATTTTATGAGCGAAGACGGTTTTTGCACGGTAGAAATACCTGGAGACCTGAATTCAATAAACCGATATTTCTGGACTGAAGCCATTTACAACTTGTTACTCCGCTACTTTTGTTTGGATGCTGTCTGTGAAATAGCATGAAATGATGTAGTTCCTATTATTGTTATGTAGGCTCCGATAATTCCAAAGCTTTCCCATCCTGGTGATACAAGAAATTTTGATGATTATCCCGAGGAAAACTGGAGAGCTGCACCTCCACTCAGTGGCAAATTACTGGAGCCATTTAAAGATTTTTAACTGTTGCGGATGACATAACTCTATTATAGTCAATCAGGTGGGTTAAACCGCCCCTCAAAACTTTCAGCGCCAATACTAATCCAAATACAAATCTCTTGACTGATCTCCATACATTTCCGTCAAGAATTAGTTAGGAGGATTTGAAAACAGATCAAAACATTTCCTTTAGGTGATCATTAATTTAATTAATTCTCTTAACCTTTTCTTTTGATTATTTATTAATATTGTTTTATAGAAGGAAATAGATGTTGGTCACGACTCTTGTAGGCCTCAAAATAACGGCCGGTCAACGGACAATGTCCGGTCAAGGTGACCATTGGTCCGGACAAACTTTCGGCTAGCCGGTCATTTTGACAGAACACGTTCATAAGCGACCCCTGCAGAAAAAAGTACATTTTTACCCCATTACGTTTCCATAGAACAAGATTGAGGGTTAAAAGTAGAGCTATCCTAGCAAGGAAACCCTTTTGCGTTCTATAAATATGATGGTAAATAGGTTAGGTTCAAGTTACGACTTTATAGCAACAGATTTGTGTTTTTTCTCTCGTGTTCGTTATGCATCATCTTTCTGCGTCAATGTTTTTTATCAAACTACTGATTAACCTTCCCGGGACTCGTGATCTTAAAAATGTAACCAATCGTGGACTCATATATATACTTTTATTTTTTTTATATGTTTTCGAGCTTCTGCACAGTGAAGGGTGGTCTGACTTGTCCTAAAATTGACCTTCGTTTTGTAATGTTTTGTTTTCAGTTTACCATGGACTAATCAAGTACTATTAAGAGCAGAGAATGTGCTTTCCTAGTTACCTTTTCTGGACATGCATAAGCCTTTTCTTTAGGAATTCATTTCAACTTTTATTTATTGGATACATCGGAACTCTTAGGCAGGCATTATAAGACATTGTATTGCAAAATGTTAGATAATTCATTCACCTTTTCTTAACTACCCCAATTCTTTTTAGTGTGTACGTTGAAAATCAGTATTACATTGAAAATCAGCGTTAGAAACTGAACCGTGATAGAGAATCGGCAACACTTAAGATAAATGCGGAAAAACCGGCAACCAAAAAACATGCAACTTGTTTTGCGACTTTTTTGCAAAACAACCTCGAAAACAACCTTGGAAGCTTATTTGTTGCATGGCAGGTTAGAACGTGGGCGATAAAACGCGCAACATCGCTATTGTACTATTCAATTTGTTTTGTAGCAATTTTGCAAAACAAGTTGCACTTTTCTTGTTGCCTGTTTTACCGTAGCTTTAGGCCGGGCCGTACTTCATTGAGCGGAACGTAATGCTTATAAGCGAGAACAATAGTTTTTAGTCATTAACGTTAGGTTCGGCTCATGTGAAGTAGGATGTTTGATCCGAGCCTATCGATGGTTTGTCGTGGATCGGTATTTAATGTTTTTACGACTTTTCCCAACCCTTACCCCTCCCCTCATAGTTGGCAAATAATACCTAGAATTGACATAATATTGTATTTTGAAATTGCAATTTGCTCATTTGATGATGCGTGTAGAGAGACTAATTTGGATAAAAATTATTTGTAAGCTCTCAATTTGCCATTTATTTTGCGAGGTTTTTTGAATGTTATAGAATTTCAATGGATTATTGTTCTTAAAGTCCTTCCATATACTCAAATATAAAAGGGGCCCAAGAAACCAAAATTGCTATTTTCGCATTGCCGATAAAGTTTAAGAATTTAAAAAAAACGTTTTGTCCATGATAAATATACAGGAACAGTGTTTTCCTTAGAAACTGTTAGGCTAGTTTGGGTAAGTAATATAATGGGATTGATTCGTTAGCAGGTAAAGTGTGGGAATTAAGAAAAAAACAGTTTCACTTATACATTTCCTGAAGTGCGGTAAATTTACCTAGTTTACCTGACATAAAGTTTGAATAAATTATACTGCCGCACTGAAATATTTCTTTCCGCCTTTAGCAGGTAACAAACCATGTAGTTTTTTCTTTCAGGCCCAATCAGGTAGCGACCGTGTCGCGCCACGTGATCCCTGTATGACCCTAGATTTTTTTTTAAGTCCAGTTTTGATAAAAAGAAAGGTCAATACGCAAATGGTTTTCTATTTTAAAGCACAAGGATGATAGTCATAATTGAGAACTGTGCTGTTCTGCTAAACGAATTAGCATTCAAATATTTTTTTAACGTGTACGAAACTTTCTCTTTGCAATAGAAACCTCTGAACTCATTGTTTAAGGCTCTTCTATGTTTCAGCTCAGCAAAGCGTATTTTTAGTCAAATCGACAAGTTTCACTCTGGCATTGTTCTTAATTATGATGTCATCAATGATATTGCTAGTTTATTTTTGTACACAGGTAGAATTAAAAAATCAACATCGTAGAAATCATGCTGCGATGTCTCAGTCAATTAGAATTATTAATTTTTGTAAAATGTGTCGATGGAAATTGTTAGATTCCAAATAAATTTATATGTATTCCACTGAAAAACAGCTTGTTTTGTTCAATGCCTAGGGACAACCACGCTAGAGATCAGCAAACGCTAAGGAATGTTTGAGACAGAAAAGATCCTACCGTGTGAGCGGAGGCAACATTTTCGCTGTGTGAGCTGTCGTACGAAAAGTAGCCTCTGCTGACAACCGTCAAATCCGCCCAGAAATCTGGACAAATAAATTTTGAAAAAGGGCTTTTTCCTGTTCTTAACCGGTTTTGAGCATTGCGCGAGTTTTGAGTGGTCGAAGTTGTCCCATTTTTTTTATTCCCGCGAAACTCGCGCCATTTGACGACAGACCGTGACGATTAATTTTGCTTGGGAATTTTGGGAATCGCATGACGAATTTTGCGCATGCACGATAGAAAATTGAACGGTTGTCGGCAGAGGCTACTTTTCGCACGCCAGCTCACACAGCGAAAATCTGGCCTCTGCTCGCAGAGTAAAAAGATGTTTGACCCATGAGTGAAACTTGTTCTACGTTAGTGAGGCAAGGGGGAGATTGCTTTGGTCAAATAAGTTGATAGGTCTGTTCTTTTCGCCCATCCCCCTCCTCCCTTAAAAAGATTCATAAGCAGATATTTCTCGAGCGCTGGTACAAGGAAGTTTTAGCGCTCCCCAAAGCGTCAACTGTTGAATCAATTTACCCTGGGGAGTGGGGTACTTGGGTTAATTTTTGTTGTGTATGTGCCACTGGCCTCTCAGAGCCCTTAACCCATTATAGTCTATTCTGCGGNTTTTGCTTGGGAATTTTGGGAATCGCATGACGAATTTTGCGCATGCACGATAGAAAATTGAACGGTTGTCGGCAGAGGCTACTTTTCGCACGCCAGCTCACGCAGCGAAAATCTGGCCTCTGCTCGCAGAGTAAAAAGATGTTTGACCCATGAGTGAAACTTGTTCTACGTTAGTGAGGCAAGGGGACGATTGCTTTGGTCAAATAAGTTGATAGGTCTGTTCTTTTCGCCCATCCCCCTCCTCCCTTAAAAAGATTCATAAGCAGATATTTCTCGAGCGCTGGTACAAGGAAGTTTTAGCGCTCCCCAAAGCGTCAACTGTTGAATCAATTTACCCTGGGGAGTGGGGTACTTGGGTTAATTTTTGTTGTGTATGTGCCACTGGCCTCTCAGAGCCCTTAACCCATTATAGTCTATTCTGCGGCCACTTATAGACCCCATCTTATTCACTTTTGGGCAAATTTGTAATTTTTGCTATCCCAACTTAGTCACTTTCTATTTTTAGGAATTGACCCATTTTTTAGTTTGAATGAATAACACTTTACTTTTTGCTAACCGTAAATATGAAGAACTGTCTTACACCAAGAAATCCGAAAATGTGCGACATCATTCTAGTTACTGTATTTAAAATGCGACCCCATTACAGTCAATCCAGTCGTGAAAATGCGACCCCATCCAGCGGCACATGCCCATTAGCCTCTTATAAGGAAGTACCCCCCCCCCCCCCGGGCAATTTACGACGGTAAATTGGCCATTATTAGGGCGCGTTTTAGAGAATAAACTCTAGAAATCACTTGTTTTGTCGTTTATTCCATTGCAATTGAAATCTGCTGGAAATATAATATTCTGATGTATTCAGCGTTTGATACGTAATCCAAAAATCACGGTACAAGAGATCTGTAAAGAAACTTTCGCGTATTCTGATTATGCTCACTTACCAGACAAACAAGGTTTAGTAATCTGACAATACTAAACATCCACAAACAGAGAACAGACAAACTTTGTCTTGTAGCTGTTGCCAATGAGTTTGTGGCTCTTAATGACAATCGGAAAGGCAACTTTGGCACCTTCAGAGAATCCGACTTAAAAATGTCCGGGTGACACTCAACCGTTGGGTGTGCTGGGTTCAGCTTCAAAGTCTATTCATTTAAATTTTGGTCTAACGTGGGGGCCAGGTTGTAACTTGTTGTTTAAAGTGCCGATGTAAGAATTATAAATTTATATTACAATTAGCAGTTTTAGATGCATTTATAGCCGTTTCAGAAGACTTAAATTTGAAATTTTCCAGGGGGAGCAAGCCACCGGACCCCCCTAGTTTACTCACGCTTACGCGTTCGCATTAGCCCCCTCCGCCCCTCCCACTTGAAAATCCGCTCCGCGGGCCCTGGTAAATCGGTTAAAAATGAGTAGTAAGTACTGTAGCATTACGGTTGGTCACCAGACCCTTGTGTACTCCTTCATCCACGCCGCAGTTTTCCAGGCCGATTTCTATGAGCTGAATTTTTGGTTCAGTACTAAAACCCTCCGAAACTCTACTGCTCTTGGAACTGCCGTTAACTATCATCTCTCGCCGCGTTGAAAATATTCTTCTCAGAAGGTCAAACGAGGCTCGGCGAAGTTCCTTGATCCTCCATAAATACAGTCCTGGGTTAACTGTTGAGTTAATTAACACGATCACCAGCGCTAATTCAGATGCGTGTTGCAGCATTTTCGTGGTTTTCCCGTCAATAATTCTTATCAACAGAACAATCCATGTTGGAAGATAAGCCGCTAGAAGTGCACAATAAACATATAACATGTTAGTTACCGACTTTTTATACCGTGAAACAGCTAAAAGGCTTGCAGGTGATCTTGTTTCTCGCGATTGTACGCTGAGACGATCCTGTTGGCGGCGTAGAGTGGAATAAATCTTAGCAAAAACGATCGACGTCACCAGAAAGCTAAAAGGAATTATAATTAATACCAGAACGAAGTATAAACGTGGAGTAAAAAGATAAGAGGCCGACCATGGTAGCGATAGTGTCCATGTTATTGCCACGAGTGCGATGGATCTTTTGGAAGTTACAACTGTTCGGTACCTCATCTTTAAATGCAAGGCCATGAATTTATCGAGGCTAATGAACACCATTGTGAGAAGCGAGGCAAGAGAAAGTTGACCGGACGTAAAATCGTACACCAAACCAATGATACATCTGGCTAGATTGTGAGTCAGTACCTTGTAGAGTGCGAAAGAAGGGTGCACAATTAACCCAACGCAAAAGTCCGAAAACGCAAGACTACCAAGAAGAACTTTGGATGGTAGCCCCATAGAAGATGTTCGACGAATGGCAAACAAGATCAGAAGGTTTCCCATAATTGCTGGGATTGAAAATGCTAAGTTCAAACATGCAATGATTTTATCTGTAGTGTCTCTTTCCGTTAACACGTAAAAGTCGCAAATGCTGTGTGTTTCCTCCGCTTTGCTTTCCATTGTTGCGGTGGGCGTAGACATAAATGCTTGAAAACGTGTGGCGTCCTTTTCCTCCCACAAATTAAATTAAAAGAATCAGAAAAACAAAACGCTAATACACTGCATCCATCGTATGCAGGTTAGAGTAAGACTCTACTACGACATCCTCAGTCAACTAAATATCAGTTTGGTCATCAAATTTCTTGCACCATGCCTTCATACGATAAAAAGATACTCTTCGAAAACCTAATTTTAGAGGCACACCACCACATACACCACATAAACCAGCTTACGTATCAGGCCAAGCGGTGACAAATTACCTTGTACCTTACGCGGCAAAAACATTTCTTTTCACACTTACTCTATAATCCTGTACCGAGCGACGCACCTGCCGAAGAGTTTGCTTTTTGTTTCGAGATATTGAAAAAGTGAAACTCAAGTATCACCTAGATTGAATTATCCTTTTCTCGTGTCCACTTTGTCAAGAGCTTATGTAGAGTTTAATTGATTTTCATTCTGCATAGTCTTGTTTTCTATGCTTGATTTAGTTTAACTCTGTAAATAAATTTCCAAAACGGAATCATCAACCGTTGAAATGAAAACGTTCTTCTTTCATCCTTTCATGTTTGCCTTGGCTTTTAATTTGTGTACAATGAGCGTAAGCAAAAAGTCATGAGGTGTTTATTAAATTCTCTTTTTTATTATCTCTTTATATAAGCAACACCTAAACGGAACAAACGCAGCCATACGCCGTCTAGTTTGTGAAATAATGTTCAACATAAAGAATAGCGCATACTTGCTTTAATAAAAAAATTGGCCAGTCAAACCCTAGTTATTACCATCCAACTGTTCAGTTGACTTTGCTGTCGAATCGCTTTCTTCGATTTCGTAATGAAGCATCTTTAAAAACGCCTCATCCAGAAAGTGAAGAAAATAATCCAGTTTCTTTGCAACTCTTATTGAATCAACTCACACTGTTTCTGTTTGTTCTAATTTATTAGGTTACTTTTAATTTCTTCGTTATAAATATTTAGAGCCTTCAATCTTACAATGTTGAAATATGATTAAAGAAACTCATGGATTACATATGAGACAGATAACTGATCACTGTTTTTTTTTTTGTCAACTGTTAAAAATACCAAATATAAAAGGCAACAAAAGTAATCACGTGATTAAGTATTTAAGTGATCACTTGTAAAGCTCGCTGTGATACTAGGGTAAGATTTTCACCATTCTCCATATTTTTTTCTAGTGAGCCCACACCACACTTAATTACACACAAACTCGCCATACATGATTGTGGCTCTCTTTGAACATATCAAATTTAAATTGGTCGATACCGTTTCCTCTTTTATTGTCAATGGAAAATGAAAGCGTATCTCGTCAGGAAAAACTGACATGCCACTGTACGAAATGGCATGACCTAAACCGAGACCAGTTCCGTCTGAAATGGAGTTACAAATCGCGGACTTGAGGTTCTCATTTTGTTCCTTTCTTTTCAAAGCGCAGGTTTGAGC